GCACACCCCACACCATCAGGGCCCTAGGATGTGGGGTGGCTGGCTCTCCCGTGGGTGCCGGATGCACACCCTCGCTGTCTTAGCATGAGTGTCGTCATGGGGCTTTTTTCTGTCATTTGGAATCCGCCTACGTTGGGAATATGCTAATAATAAAAGCAAATGCCCCGGTTGGTAAAACTGAGGTACGGTGAAGCCGGGTGGCATGCCCAAGGTAGCAGAGCTGCTGAGCTGGGAAACAGACCCCGACCTGCCACAGGGCTGCTGCCCCGCTTCGCTGGCACACTCCGCTGTAGACAAGGCCAGCCGCTCTGCTCCGCCGTCACCCGCCAGGCAGGGATGGGGTGCTTCTGGAGGCCCCTGTGTCTGGAGGCGTTTCCCCCAGGCCACCACTTCCTCACGGCGCCATCGTGGCCTCAGTTTGTCTGTCTCTCCACGGGTTGACGCGTTGGCCAGCTCAGCGGGTAGGGGAGCACGGAGGGGCCACTCTGGGCGCCGCAGTGGGTGTGCGTTGTGGCCGCCAGCCCTGGGCCTTTCGGGGTCTCTGACCCACCTGATCTGCCAGAACTGCCTGGTCCGCCAGAACCACCTGGGCAGGCAGAAGGAGAGCCATCCGTCACGGTGCGGCTCCCTGGTGCGGGGTTTTCAGACCGTGTCCGTGAGTCCGCAGATGCCTCCAGGCTCTCTAGGTGTTGACTTTTTTCTTAAATCATGGTTTTCCCATTAGAGTCTAACAAAGTCATGTGCACACTCTGGGGCGTCACGTCACGAACATTAGCACCTCGGCCGTGGTAACTCCTCCCCCCCCGGCTCTGTCCCCGTCAGTGCGTGCCAGCTCGTGTTCCTGGCAGACTCGGCTTTAGTCTCCCCTGAACGCTGGCCTGGGGGTGCGAGATAGGCTGTTCAAACGCTTTATCACGTCTGATTTCTCCATTTGTGAAACCAGGTGAAAACACCGGCGCGCACTGGTTGCTGGTTGGCTCTTCTCCCCAGTTTCAAGATCTTATTTTTGTTAACGTGGTTCTTACTGCTGGGCATCACCTTACGTCAGCACGAGAAAACTTGTTTTAAAAGTTTGTATTCACATTAATGCTTTTTGTCGTTTGTATGTGTATGTGCACGTACACACACAGACACACACACACACACCTTACGTACATTTCGTGTACATGTGTATTTTCTCTGGTTGTCTATGTTATTTTGCCAAAAAGAAGTTCCACTGCTACAAATGAAAATTGGAAGTCACCGGACCGTGGTTTTTTCTTCTAGGCACTGTTTCTTGATCACCCGGAAAGAAAGATCCGGGACACACAGAAATACAAGCCTTTCAAGAGCCAAGTGAAGGTAGTCGAGGGGGTTGGCACCCTGTGTTTTGTGTTACTTCCCATAATGGCAGGTTCTGGTCCCTGCTGGCTGATGCGTTGGGTGGAGATTTTGTATTTTGGTTTTGGTTTTCTGTTAAACCTTTAAACGAAAAGCAAGCTTAAAAGAGGCGGAACTCTGCTAACTGCCCACCTAAGAATTAGTGTGGCTGACGGCATGTTTTCTCCCTGCTCCGACTGCTAACAGGATCACTGGCTCTGCTCCGGGAGGGCCGAGGGCTTGGCCGTCCTTCAGCAGGGTGGCTGGGGTGGGAGACGGATGGAGAGGCAGGCTCCTCTGTCCTCCTCCGTGAGCCAGTCCTGTGTGTGTCACCTGTCACGGCTGGTGGCTGCTGCCCTAAGTGCCAGGGGCACTTCCCCTGAAAGGCAAGCTGAAGGTCAGTGGGCAGGGCTTGGCGGCCACCTCCTCCCTGGTTAGTGGGGGACCCCCAGTGGAGCTGCCCTTTCTCACGGCCAAGCTCTCCTTGCCTACAGCAGCAGCCGCAGCTCTGTGCTCTCCCCTCACTCTGCAGAGTGGAAGGCCGTCTCTGAAACTGCTCTCCCAGAAGATCCTGGGCATCAGCGTGCAGCAGTCGGAGCACTGCTCGGTGAGTGTCCTCGGGTGGAGGGAGCACTGCTC